AGGGAAAAATTGGGGGGGGAAGGGAAAAATAGGGGGGGAGAGGAGTGGGGGGAGGGAGGGGAAAAAAGGAAAAAAGAATAGAAAAAAATGAGAAAATGAAGCTAAATTAATAAAACAGCTAGTAGAGATTTCTTTGAAACACGGAACAAAATGGATTTTCATGTTTGTTACAGAAAGTCTACTCAAAAAAAGCCCCTGCCTCTTTGGATTGAGAATGGAAGTTCCTCAGTCTCTGAAGTAGAAAAGGAGATACCTTTCTGTCTGCCATAGCTCCTGCAAGGAGCTACCTCTGCTTCAGTCCTTTGCCCTATAGCACAAAGGAGTCTCTCCCTTTCCCTCACTCAGGTTTGAATATGGGACAGCAGAGAAGTTTGCTATCCTCTTGGCTTTACTTCCAGGAGACACCGTTAACTGCACTGGTCCAAGCAACAAGTCCCCAGTCTTTCACATGGGTAGAAGGCAATCAGTGCAAGGGCTCCATTTTCCTAATATCTCCTTGCTGCTAGCCATCCTGACAGATTTACCGGTGCTAAGGTCTGCAATGCAGCTCCGTTGCAATGAATTTCAGGCCAGCATGCTTTACTGCCTCCTACCAGCCCTGCCCAGACAAATGTCATGGGCCAGAGGGCCCTCTTTTTCAGGCCACTTATAAAAACCATGCTGAAGATGAGTGATAGACATCTAGATAAAAGCTAAGCCACTGCTAGCTTGGCAGTGGTTCTTACTAGCAGCGTGACTGATGCACTCATTACCTTTTCTGCTGTATTCCTCACAAACTCTGATGCAGGCAAGGAAGCCAGATAGAATTTCATCTCCTCTTGCTTCTCCTCTTGTTCCTTTTTGATGTTTATTTTTAATGGCTCACTGAAGTTGAGAATATCTATTTCCTCTTCATGCTCTGGTTCCCGCTTCAGAAACTGCTGCAGTTCCTCCAGTTTTCGGCACAGCTCCTCACCACTGGTGTAAGACGAAGGGCATTCTGAAAGAGAAGCAACCATCTGAGCATATGGACAGATTATGGCAAAAAATGCTTATAAACAGACACACACTTGAACTATGGTAAGAAACAGAGGTAACCAGAGGTTATTTTTGTAGCTCCTAATACACATGCAGATGAACAGAAATGCAAACTGTCATCAAGAGCCCTCTAATTATGTCCTCATTATACTCATGTTGCTCTCCCTTGTTTTTCTCTGTACCAATCAATAAGGTTGTACTTCCAACGATACCAGGGTAATACAAGCTTCCTCCATAGGGTCACAGAAGCCTTCTGACACGCAGTCCAAGCCCTTGGTAAAGCAGTCTGATGCTCCTCAACCCACAGAGGAATGGACTTCTAGTGCTTAGGCACCATGTAACACTAGGTCATCTCTTCCATTATGCCAAGTCCTATAGTTCTTTATGAGAAAAATCAGAAGATAGATTTCCAGTGGAAGTACGCAAGGATAGCTCTCCTCCAAATGCTCAAATCAAGCAAAGAAAAAAACCTTTTGTGGAAAGCTACATGACAAACGGATTGTTGTTTTCAAGGACAAACACAAATATGGTCATTTTGACAAAAAGACTAAAAAGTAGATGCAGACTTCCTTTCCATCTTCAACTTTTGCAACACAGGACCAGTCTGCACAGAATAATCAGATTCCCACATTTCTGTGAAATACTCCAAATTCTTTTATGATCAGGACAGAAAAACACTCAGCTTTGGGAAAGACATTATTTGAAGTTCAGAACCTAGGTAGAAAGAATAGATGAAAATAAAGATATATTTTCAATATAGAGTGCAGTGTACTGCAGATATTCCACAGCTATCCCTAGGAAAATAACGTGGAAGCTGCAATAGCACAATGTGAAAATTCATCTGGGACAATTTACTTGACTTTTAGAGGTAAATAACTCCCAACTGAGCTCCATGCTGCCACTGCCTGACAGCTTCTTGCACCTGAAGCTCACTGTTTGCAGAGTAGCCTTTTAACAGAGGCTAAATTTACCCACGGGCAGCTCTGGTACTGTCATTACTCCCTACGCTTAGTTCATGTGCCCACTTAGGAAAGGTTGCACTGTAGAGTGAGGAGCATCTTCCACCACGTGCACGTGCACTGGGCCCTCAAGGGCCCTTCATAAAAATGGAAGCCAAAGAGGTGCCAGAGAGTGACAGGATTAGCAGGGTCGAGGGACAGCTTCACTCCTACGTTTGTCCGTGCGATCTCTCCAACTTCTGTGACTCCGCAGAAAATAAGTTAAAAAACAAATCTCTCTGTCCTGAAGGACATGCTCACGTGTGTGCAAGCAGAGCCACGCAAAGGTTTTGACAAGGAGGAGTTTCCTGCCTCCATACTCACCCGGCTCATTGTCTATCTGTGTCAGCACATCTTCGATGGAGTCCTCCTCATTCCGCAAGGTCTCGGGGTCAGGGGGGGTGTAGCCGTGGCATCGACACCACTGTACCACGTGTCTAATTTTCAGGGGTGTGATATTGTGAAACCTAGGGTGCTTCTCTATGATTTCTTGCAGGATTTTTCTAACTGTCATTGCTCGTTGCCACTGTAACAAACCAAAGGGAAAGTTCACACAGTGGATATAATGTATGATTTAAAGCCACCCTATGGCTCATAAAAATAGTCCAGGATGCAAGGAAAACAACAGGAGCATTGTTTTCCCAGAGATCAGAATGGCAAGGAAAAATAAACACGGGACATGACTGTAAACCAGATCTTTAGCAGCTCTGAGCAGGTCACGCATCCTCTGCTTCCTCATACAGCCAAAGTCTCCAGAGGGAGCCCTGTCTCAGGGACATCCCTTTACAGGGGCTCAGACGCACTTCTGTCTCGACTTCACTTTCTCATCTTCCAAGTACTTTACAACAGCACAGTGCAAGAAGCTGTCAGAGCAAGAGGTGCTCCTCTATATTTTCGTTAGAGATTTTGTTAATTTAAGTTGGAGACAGCATCAAATCTAACCTAATCAAGAATCAATGGGAAAACACAACCACCACCAAACTAAAGAACCCAATGGGTTGAGACAATTATCTTTGAAGAACTGACAATGTATTTCACTATTATCACCTCTTAGGTGAGATATCTCAATCCTCCTCCTACACAAAGTAGGCATTACCCCACAAAAAGAAGTAAAGACGACACGGTATGCTGGGGAAAATTCCTACCACCATGATATACCACAAAGCAGTGACAATGGTAGTTTGCAAAATTTTTGGTATTTAAAATGTTTCAAAAATAGCTTTCTTCAAACAGACAGAAAACTGACCTTCAAGGTCTGAGGAAGTCTCTGAAAAATACACAGAAGCATTACATGAAGAGCAATCAGTGCATCTTGCAGTAAAGAATGCTTCCATTTAAAATCTGACAGTGCTTCAGGAAATAAAGCAGTCAACAACAATGAAGGTTCTACAGTTCCCAAATCCTTCTTGCTTCCCTAATGACTGTTTACAAAACACAGGAGAATAAGATTACCTCGGCTGCCCTGCGCTTGCCAATATTCCAGCTATAGTACTGTTCCACTGAACTGGCGCAAAAGGAGCTGACATCTTCACCTAGAAAGAAAGAGCAAAGCCAAAAAAAACAGAATTCAATTTTAATGACTGAAATCGGATTGTGTATGGAGGTGTTCTATTTAATGGAGAGGAAAGGGGAAATGGGACCTCTGTTTCATGCTCACGGTGCCGAGGACCGTAACACTTTCAAATTCTGTCTTGAGTCTCTCCTTCCCCAACAAACTCCTAAGAGGTAGGCTAGTAAGGCTGCGTTATCAGTGCAAGTCTCGTTCTTTTCAAAAGACTTTTTGGTCAATAAATTACAACATGAAAATGAAAAAGTGAAAAGATTTCCTGGCAAAACATTAGGAGGGTTCATGAATCCCAATCCAGACATTCATGAATGCTATTATAGGCTATTATAGGTTACAAAGCAATATACAATAGAAGCTTTACTGTGCTACCCACCCCTGTACTTATCTGAGCAGCTCTACCCTACCGAGCCTGCAGGAACTCATCTGCAAAGTGCATCAGCTACCAGAGAAAAATGTCACCTTTTCACTACGTACATGAAAAGGTATGCTATTGTTAATCCTCATAAAAGATTAAATCAATTTTCTGCTGACAACAAACTGCTGACAACGCAAATGGCTTTATTGGATGGACTTAAGTCTAAACAATCTTGAGAATATCCCTGAAGTAAACTTTCTAGGACAGGGGTTTATTTCATTCAATTTGTAGTAATTTTTGCAGTTACAGAATAGAAAAAGCATTGCTGATGCACTGAAAATAGCATATCAAACATTTTCATTCACTACTTACTTCTTTCAGCAATTAATGGAACCTTCTTGACTACTGCTGTTAAAAGCTGCTGTATGTTCTCCAAATATTCTATGCTGCAAGAAATAAAATAATCACGATGAAGAATATTGTTGGAAAGTGATGAACCAGATGCACATGGTTTCAATATCACTGCATGGTTTGAAAATAGAGGTTCTAGTCCCTGGTGCCAAGGCTTTAAAGTAACACTAATGTGAAGATAAACTCCTGTAATGTCCCAATTCTGAGAACGTATTTTGTAGTGCCTTTTTTCTTGCTTTGGTGTCCCTGAAGCTACCTTCACCAAGCTGAAGAAACTGGCTTTAGCAAGCAGGCTTGAAAGGAATCCCTTCATCATCTCACATTTTGCAACATGATTCTGAGAGGATGAGAAGCACCTTTTACTGCAGGTTGTCCCACTATGAACACTGAGCACTGCAAGGCAAACTTTATACTTTCTTTCGTTTCTCATTACCCATCCACCTCTTCTGATTTCTGTTGCTGGGAAAGACTACGCTAACGAGCTTATTTCATGTCACTCAGCCCATCTGCAACACTAAAATATGTGCTAACAGTTTACTTCATTAGTCGTAACAAGCAAAACTGTGTTTTCTATCAGTTATTTTATGACTAAAATGACTCCCAGTGTGTACTGATCTAAGATTTATTCCTGTCTCTTCCACACTCTCTCCAACAGGGAACTATCTATGAGGATATGTCAGGATAACAGCACTTTCAAAATATGGAGACAGGAAAATAAGCCACTGGGAGAAATAAAGAGAAAAACAAAAATCTTATAGATTTAAAGAAATATCCAGAGAAAATTATTTTGCAAACTGAGTTCTGGTGAAAAATTCTCCAGAAACTACTTAGAAGAGCATCACAAATAAGGCATTGGACTTCACAGCATCCAATAAACAAACAAACAGACTACTGGTACATCTTATGAGGTCTGACTTGGCTTAGTATGGGATATTACATAACTACAGAAATGTATGAGCTTGTAAGACTACAGAGGCAGTAAGACAAACAGTTCTGCTACTTACGACATTTCTTTTTTAACCCGTATTTCATTGGGCAAAGCCTGACCCCTCTAAGAACACAATGGCAAGAGGAATTATGCAAGCAATGATAATTGTGGAGGCTTAATAAAGAACTTAATAATAAAGAGCATAATAAAGAGGCTTTAGAAATTTAAGTTTTTAGCAATCCCCAGAACAACTGCAAATCATAAAACATTTTTTTCTCCTTCAGCAGCCTGGAATGGTAACCCATTTACAAAGAAAATACTGCAGCACTGTCTGAAATGAATGCCAGCCAAGAGGATTGTTAACAAAAAAAACCAGCATATGTAACAGAAGATTTTATAATGGAGTGAAATTTCTAATACCACTGCATCAATTCCTAGAATCTCTTCCATTCCCCCTAGCATTCAAAAGAAAAGAATTATCCAGAGAGAAACAATTACTTGATAACATAATTTCCAAGTTCCGAGTTCTCTTCAGTTTTTACTGCTGCTTGGTCTTCTTGAGTTCCCACAGAACTGCAGTTTTGTCCTGCTGAATCAGGCTCCATCTTAACTTCAAAGAAACAGAAAACATTTTAAAAGACGAAAACCATCAGTCAGTCAGACAAATAATGTCTTCTGAGTGCGTCTGCAATAAAGCTCATGAAATTGTGGGCACTACTGATCAGAGCCCCTCCACTATGCACTACTGGCATAAAAAGAACATATGAAAGTAACCACGCATTTCAAAGCCTGAATGGTTTGCATACTAAAACAAGTGCCCAGATGCACCCTCCTTAAACATTAAATAACACCCTCTCTTCTGTTTGCATTTGGCTCGCTAAATATGAATAAATCTGACCTTATAAAGAATATATTTCTTGACTATGTTGAAGGAAAGATGCCAGTACATGACTCTCCTTCCAAATCTCAACATGCTCACACCTCACTCTTTTCTAAAGAGTTGTGTGTAAATAACGAATTGTTTTAACATTTTGCATACAACTGCCTGATCTAAACTGAACTACCTGCAAAAATACACTGGCATTTAGGTATGTTAAGAGCTAGCTGGAAAACTAGTGGTATTTTTAACCAAGTGTCATTTCCCCCAAATGAAAACTTTCTTTGAGGACATCACTGGGCTTGGCATTAGTGCATTTTCTGACATCTAGGAGAGAACTTACAGAACTAGAGGAAACAGCCAGATCATCTCTAAAGATCCCTTCCAACCTTTATGACTCTATGAATAACTCTGCTAAAATGGGAGCAGAAGAGTTGTTCTGAACACAGAATACCCATCAATCTGGTTGTTCATCTGAGATGGAAGAGACACAGGGCAGTTCAGCATACACTAGATTTTGAGTATTTCAGCTCTGGGTTATGGATTATTCTGGGAAGTAGCAATAAATGTGATTAAATATGTGTTGCTCTATGCATTTGCACAGAGATGGACTAAAATAATAAATGTTTTTAATACTCATGGTAGCTTTTCAGAAAATCATCATTTCTCTCTATACTTTAGGCTCTGTTGAGCAAGGAGTGACAGTTAACCTGCTAGTCTCCAGATGCCATTTCAATTCCATTTAAATTGTACTATCAATAAAAATAAAGAGTCAGGCCCCTTGCACAAAGCAGGTTGTACAAAACCAGCATAATGCTACTGAATGTGCTCAGAAATTCACTGTTACCTTTAGTGACAGAAGCTGCAGATGGACTAAGGACAACTGCACTGGCTGTCGTGACAGCTGAAACTTTGCTGGTAGAAAGTGACTGTATCACTAGAGAGGAGTAGGAAAAAAAGAGAATAAAGAAAGATAAATCAAGCTCCAAACACTTTAACAAATAGCCATGCTCAGAAGTAAATACGAAGTGTTTGCAATACAAAGTTTAGATACAATTCCCTTCCTAATTTTTCTTTTGTCTCTAAACCTTGGACTGTGTATGCCAAAAGTGACCAGGAACTACTCTGGGTCTTGGGAATTTTCAAACACCACTTACGCTTCCTCTCTGTACTCTACCTTTGTTCACAGGCATGAGTATTGTCTGAACACCTCCGGAAGCTGTGCTTACGCCGAGCTGTTTAAGCTGACTGGGAACTGTCAAAACAGCCTGCTGTGGACTGGACTGATTTGAGTGGATTTTCAGCAAACCTGCGAGAAGATGAAATGTTAAACACAACGTACTATTTTATTTAACCAATCTCCAGCTATTTCTCTTTCTGCATGAAATAGAAGGCGTGTAAGTTACTTCTGCCATCCTCTTAATAAGCCACAGATGGCACTGAACTGTCAGACAAGTTTTTATTGATATGGATGGCTGTCAAAATACTGGGATGCATTATATGCTCTATGTTATATACTATGCTCCAGTATTTCTGAGGCAAGATTTATAATCACTTAGTATTCTTAAGCAGCTTAATAAAAATGTTAAATGGTGAAGCTCCTTCAGGGCACAGCGTCAGTCTCTAGCAAGATACTAAAGCCTTTGGCTTGGAAGCCTCTTTCCATAATAGTTTACCACACTTAGATAAAGTGCATTATTTAAGTGATGCTGTGGGGACTGTCCAAAGGAGGAAGTGGGGAGCGGAAAAAGAGAAATTCTGTTGGAAAGATGCCTTTAAAAATTCACACCTTGAGAATTTTAACTCGGATTTTTCTCTGACTTCTTAAGCTGAAAACCATCTCAAATAGTGTATTCCCCACTAAACACCTTGGTGCTTCATTTCTGAGAGAGTAATACTCAATTGCTTATTATACAACTGTGGCAGTTTTAATAGCTTTTGTCGTACACTTCCAAGCTCTGGGAAACACAAACTCACAAAAACAAGGCAAGTTTTAGAGAGGCAGAAAGGCAGGAGAGCTGCTCTAAATGACCCTGTCATATAGGCTGTGTCACTTGCTCCCTCCTGTACGTGTATGCCTTGTTTGCACTTAGTAAGGAACCATTTCAAATGATCTGAAGATGTTAAAAGGTAAATGAAAAATCCAATTGAAGATTTCTATTTTTGACTCATGCTACTCAAACTAAATTTACTTTGTTTTGCTCTCCTTGATGCAAAAGATACTAGAAGAAAATAAAGCTATTCCTTTTACATATGGATAGATCATTTTTATTACCTTATCTTTATTAACGTGAAATATTTCACATCCCATCTATATTACTCTTTGTATTATTACTTTATAACATTCAGTTCCCCTTAATCGATGCTTCTCTCCCTTCCACACCCAACAGAGAATATGTAAAGTCTCAGGGCCAAGCTCTCCTCATGCAATTTCTCTATCTTCAGTGGAGTTTTACTTCTACAAATAGAATTAAGCCTGTGGCATCTTTGAAATTTTGTTACCATCAGTGCTCAGTGATAAACTGTGCTCTTGAACAAGCAGGAAGCAGCCTTGAATGAGAACCTGCCATGGAAACTACGACCTCTCTTAAATACCAGTGGGCAAATAACACTGTTACTTGTATTAAATATACTGATGTGATAGGATGCCAAGCATCTTGCTTGGGCTATGCCAGATGCTACCCCAATTTGGTACTGCAGAAAGCATGACTTCACTTCCACACATTCACAAATGCAGGTGACCCCAAATACTTCTTTTTACAGTGGAGGACACAGAGAACATACACCCTCTCTAAAAGCAGGTCATGAAGAGAGTTCAGTACCTGATACGGCAGCTTTCCCAGCCACAGGCGTTGGCGTGGTCATCAGAGAAGCAACACTTACAACAGTAGAGGTAGCAGTCTTATTCACTACCGATGAAGTAGACTGGCCCTGGTTGATACAGATTTGGTGTTGCTGTCCAGACGTCTTTGCTATAGGACCTCCAGAAGTTGATGAACTGGTACTTGCATTATCTATTTGCTGCATGAAGGGAAAGAGAGTATTAGGAAAATCCTATTCATTTCAAATGCGATTTAACAATAGGTTCAAAGGAGGATTATCTGGAAGTAGTAAAACCAAATGACTATTTATCTGTCATTAAGAAGCAAGAGTTCTTCAGCATGTATGCTGAAGACACAATGATGGTATGTACAGAATGAAGAATATGTCGAGCAGAAATCAAATGAAACCATGAACACAGGAACTGCTACCACAACTGCTTTGATAGTATCAGGAGCCAGATCCTTTAAGTTCAGTAAACACGTGGGCCTCCAGATGAGAAATTTGGTCCAGCAATGTTTCATATTTCCCAGCTGCTCAAAACTCTATAGAGATTGGTAAAGAAACTGAGCAAAGCTGTTAATGGAGGTATCTCCACTGCCTCAGCCAACAGGTCATGTTTTGTTAAGACACTATGCATGCCTTATTTCCAATATATATTGCTCTCATACAGAGCCTGTGGCACTTCTTTTGTTGTAAAAACTCAACCTGCAAGGCTAGTGTTTTGGATAGATACATGTGAGGGATTTGAAAATGTCTCAAGAGCTGGGAAAGCTCTTTAGTACTCATCAACTCAGACCTCAGGTAGATCTTAGTGTTTCAGCTGCTATGTGTCCTAGGTAGGCCAAGGCATGGATAATTAGATGGTAATAATTATCATTAGGAATCCAGGCAGATGAAAAACTGGGGATAAAGAGATCAGATATCTAAACCTCTGCAGTGTCAGTGGGAGCTGTAAAAAAAGTAGCTATCAATGCAAATTTCAGTACCTTCTCCAATCTATGCTCTATAGTATCAGCGTTCAGTCCTCTTTGAGGACAGCATGGCCTCACACTTCACTTATTTAACCTCTGCCACCCCACAAGCTAAAGTGGCAGAGCCAGCAGGAATCCTCGCAGGGAACTACACACTTGCCTTTCAACGCCTCCTCCACAGCCCCTAACTCCACAACACTGCTGATCTGCCTCAAGTTCCTTGATGTATCCATTCACAGGAGAATTAACTCTGGGAACACAAATGCTTTATTTCCAAACTCCCTCTCTGAGGAACTAACAAAGGTTGTGCTACAATTCCTTTGGGATAAACAGAAGGAACATGCTTTGAACAAAGTCATATTCAAAGGATCACAACCCCTGTCCACTGTTAGCTTCTGTTACTAAGTTATAGCAGATTCAGCAATAAGCAATGTAAGGGGTCAGTGATCTTGGATGAAAAACCTTCAGGCTAATTACTGATGGCTTTCACTGGCCTACTAGATATAGATATTCATGTATTTTATATCTTTCTGCAAATTTCCATGTCAACAAGACATTTTTGATTTTTGAAACATCTAAAAATTTTACATGAATGACTACAAGAGCTCTGTTTTGGATAAGGTCTCTCCTACCCACCTGCATTTATAATTCTAATAATTGTAAGCGCAAGGAAGTGCAAGTTTTAATTTCGGTTCTCCCTTTTGTTTCTTTGCAGATATTTCTTTTTTTGTGTGTGTAAAATAGCAAAATGAGGAAAGGATGTGTTTTAACTGCACTGGAACACAAGTACAGAGCTGACCAGCCGACAGAATGGACTAAAGAACATGAATGGAAAAAAAAGCAGTAGAAGGCCTGTGCTGGGAATTATACTAGTCTAAAAGACTAAAAGAAGAATTTTGGTTCATGTGCTAGTGAAAGCAAAGACCTGCAAATGTTTTACTTCTGAGACTGTACACAGGCTGCATTTTTCTGTAAAGGCCCTGTGGAACCTCAACAGGAAGAGCCCAAAGGCAAAGCGATATCCTATGCTACGGAAGCTGGGAGAACTCAAGAATGAGGAAAGCTGTTCAAAGAGAGACATTTCAAGAAAGCTTGCACGTGCCCTGGGCTTTCCAGAGCTTTTGGCTTTGACCTCAAAGCTCCAATTACGATACATTGGCAATGTTGTTTCTCACCTGGGCCACCCCATTTGTGGGAAGGGCCATGGCAGAAGTGGCAGCTGTGGTGATAACGCCTCCTGATACTCTCAGCACAGTGGTGCCAGGCTTGGAAAGCTGGGATGAGGTAGGCACTGATTTTATAGAGCCATCTGATATTTTCACCAATGATGTCTGTCCACTGGGTGCAGCCTTTGAAATGGAATTTAGTGTAAGGTAAAAGGTTGAAATACTATATTTGTTGTTACTTTTTCAAGAGACAATTTTTTTTTTGCATTAATAAAGCACAAAATACTTTTGACAGGCTTTTCTTTTTCCTGTAAAAGGTGGGATGTTGTGACAATAACAGCAGGAACACAAAATGATTACCTCAGACCCTCAACTTCATCAATTCAGAATGTCAGCTTTAAGAAATACACCTACCAATTTTGGATGGGCAACTTCAGGCACTCCCAAAGAGTTTTAATTCATAGAGCCCACTCAATGCTTTTTAAAAGAAGGGCCTTTGGGGAATCTCCAGACTGTCAGGGCCAAGAACTTCAGAGTGTTAGCAGGTGTCCCATTTTTAAGGTTGAAATATTTAAAAACCATATTTTCATACCTGATTGTGTTCATTTCTTTAATTCCATATCCTTAAGAAAACTTTGAGCCCGTTTACAAGCTAGGAAACCAAGCTTGTATGGGACCCGCTCTAAGACCATGAATAAGCTGTAGTATTTTATCTGCTATGAAATTAGGCCTTTGTGCATTTTCTTTACATAGTACAGACAGCATTTTAATTATACAAGGGAAAAAAAAAAGCACACACATACACACACACACACGAGGAAAACCCTTCATAACATGTGGCTCCGTTTCTTGTATTTTATTTGACAAAACAACACTGAGGGGGTAATAAAGAAGCATATCATTTGCAAATTACCTGTGTAAATAAAGTCGTTTTCTGTCCAGTTATCACTTTTAATGCCTGTTGTCCTTGTGTAGATGATGATCCAACTCCTACACTGCCCTGAACAACTGATGCTGGCGTCAGCTGCTTCCCAGAACTCTGAGGAGAAGGCTGACCGACCAGAAAAGTGCCCTACCAGAAATAAGAGAGTACCTTGAAATATGAAAGAGCCAGTACAGAATACAAGTCTGTAGCTGTAATGTAAAAGGTACAGTGGATGGTTCTGCACCCGCAGGCAGACACAGCCTGTGCAAAAGTGTGCAAAACTCACACTTTCTGATGCAAGGAAGTTGTGAGAAAGTCACAGTTAGTTTTCAGTCTCTTCAGAGTCATCCACTACAATTTAACATTGTATGTATTAATTTAACATTGTATTGTATTTATGTTCTTCAAGTTTATTCACTGAGACAAATGCTACTTACCTTCCAAGAGCAGAGATGCTACTGCTGGGCTATGCAAAAAGGAGAGGGTATTTTGTTGCCTTCCAGTTTTAAAACATGATCAGTCCTCCTAGAGAGCCACATATTCACAGCTCAGGACGTGGCAATCAGATCCACAACCGGAGGCCTGCATCTACCAACTGAGGCCTTGAAAGCCTTCCCATTTCACATCATTATTTAACTTCTGTCCTGAGAGGCTCTGTTCCCTCTGTCTCACATGAATCTCTTCTTACAGCTCTCCATTTTCTAGTCTACCGTCCTTACTCATCTTGCAATTTCTCTCTACTGGCTTTTTTTCCCTATCACTAGTGTTTTCTTCAAGCTCTTACACACCTGCCTGTGTTAGACTGCTCTTCCAATATCATTTCTGTTACAGGACTCCCCCATAGTCCTGTGCTTTTATTACTTCCCGTCTCCTCTCCAACCACTGCTTGCCCTAGGATTACTCAATCCTGCTTTCTTAGCCTGCAAAGAGCTGTTAGGGACACCTTACACTCTGCTACGCAAGGCAGAGATGTGCAGACAGTAAGGAGCAAACCAGATGCCTGGTGAAGTGGAGAAGCAAGGGTTTTTAAAGTGAATCCACAGTTCAAGAACATTTCTCCCAACACAGAACCACACATCATCAGCTGCAACCTGAAATGTCATTCTGCTTCAGTTAAGATGCCTATGCCACTGACCTGCGGTGTCTGCTTCAAGATGTAGGACGTATAGGTGAGATGCTGTGACAAGTTACTACTTGTGCTTTGGGTCCCTCCTCCTCCTCCTCCTCCTGCTCCTCCACAATTAGTAGTGCCACCAGACTGGAGACCTGTAAGCAGGATAAAAGGCAGCTTGACCCTTTAGTAACCAAACACTGTCAGCTGCTTTAGCATCCCTGTATGTACAAGTAATTGAAAATACCTTGCAAGATACTTGCTACTACATGTTCTATAATTCAGTAACATAAATAGCATAAATACAACAATTCTCCAATACAGTACAGTTCCTGTACTGCTGTCCTCTCCTAAAGTTCTACAGCCCAAAACACATTTACTAAGTGTATTTAATTTTTCAGTGATACGTACTCTACTGCCATACCCTTGGTATTTACAGTCTCATATATTAAATTGAGTAACACCTCTTCCCTCACTTGCAGCAAGCAACATGGTACCCAATCCGTCCTTTGCACTAACCTCCAACCTCAAAATGAGCGTTTTGGAGAAGGCTCCTAACAAAATACTTCCTCTACACAGATCAAAACCCATGAGAACATTCTATAAGCAAAGTGTTGTCCACTAGAACCCTTTCTGCAATGCTAATTTCCAGGTTTGTTTCAGTGGGTTTGACTCAAAGCCCATTAACAACAACAAAGATAGCATTCCTGATGTTCTCAACAGCTCAGGGTCAAGCCTTCTATCAATATCCAAAACTATTTCTTTCTCCCATTTCAGATACAACATCTTGTCCTTTTCAGAGTTAGTTTCCTATGTTTCTAGTTCCTCCAAGGTCTCGTTCTATTACTTAGGAATAGCTTTTGCAACTGCACTCAGACTGTTCTCATTGCTGCATCAGGAATATGAAGTTCTCCTTTCTTAGGCATCACAATGAAGAGTTAAAGAGAATCCTTAGCTGCAAAATTTCTGAACAATTACAGTGTTTGCTTTGGCTGTGAACAAAGGAATCTCTCACCCTACTACTGACTTTCACAGTACCAGGACATTTTATAGCAAAAGGGACAAGCACATTAAATATGAAGTGATTGCATTATTTAACTCATTAAATTTCCCTGCAAGACTAACTAGCACTATTTGTGGCTCGCAATATGGCTCCTTGGGGTATCAGAAGCAGTTTTCCTTTCCCAGAAGGATTCTTGCTGTTGGTGGTGAGGTAAAGTTTGGTGCCTGGTGGTAAGTTTGCCAAGTTTGCCAAGTTGGTGGCTGGTAATTGCAGTGTAGCCATCACTAGGAAGAGAGAATAAGAACTAAGTTAGCAAAATTCAGCATATTCTGCCAATCTCTCTCCCAAGCTTCTCCCTGCCCCAGGGAGCCCAGGACCCCAACAGCCCATGAACCTGCAGGCCAACTTCAGGCTTGACAAAGTCATGCACTCTATTCACAGAGTACAGCCTGTTTTAAAATCCCTGTGCTCTCTCTTCCCTCTTAAAGATAATTAATAACATCTCCTTTATTACCACATTAGTTAAAATTTCCCTCTGGATTTCTATATTCATTTTCTTTGAATAATTTCTACCCCACACAGTTGTCTTTGGGGCTGAAGGAATCGTTACAAAGCACCAGAATCTCCCCAAATGATCTTTTTCCAAGGATTACTTTACCTGAGCCTTGAGATGTGCTTTTCTGAGCACCTGCTGATGCCACCTGTGCCTTGGTTATAGTCTGCACAGGCTGGGCAACAATCGTCCCTCCACCTCCACTTACAATGGCTTTGGCTACACCTTGAGTCACAACCTGCTTTGGACCAACAGCTTTTGCTACTGAAGAGCTAGATTTTGCCACAAGTATCTGGCCACCACTGATGGCCACCGCTTGCTTCACTGTTGACTGTAAAGCAGAACCAACTGGGACACCAACAACCTGCAACAAAATAAGGATCAGATGATGGGCTCTGATAAGAGAAACCACTGGAGTCTATTTGGTGCACTATCTCCATCGTTAAACATTTTAGGCCATTTTATACATAACTGTTCATATATAAAGGTTATTCATAGAATTCTACAGGTTGGAAAAGACCTTTAGAGATCATCTAGCCCAACTCCCCTGCACACGCACGGTCACCTACAGCATGTGGGACAGGGCTGCATCCAAGTGGGTACTGAAGATAGCTAGAGAAGGAGATTCCACAACCTCTCTGGGCAGCATATTCCAGGGTTTCTGTCACCCTCACTGTTAGGAAATTTTTCCTTAAGTTCATGTGGAAATTTTGGTGCTTCAGTTTGTGGCTGTTTCCTCTAGTCCTAGTAGTCACCACTGAGAAGAGGATGGCCCCATGCTCCTCACTCCCTCCCTTGAGGTATTTACGGACACTGATCAGGTCCCTCCTCAGCCTTCTCTTCTCCAGGCTGAACAGGCCCAGCTCCCTCAGCCTTTCCTCATAGGGCAGATGTTCCAGGTCCCTGATCATCCTCGTAGCCCTGCGCTGGACTCTCTCCAGCAGCTCCACATCCCTCTTGTACTGGGAAGCCCAGAACTGGACACAGTCTCCAGATGTGGCCTTGCTAGTGCTGAGCAGGGAGCAGGATCACCTCCTTTCACCTGCTGGAGATGCTCTTCTTAATGCACCCAAGGATCTCACTACCCTTCTTGGCCCACAAAGGGCACATTACTGCCTCATGGCCAGCTTGTCTACCCTGACACTCAGGTCCTTAATTCCTTATTTTTATTGTTCTTTTTAATTATTTTTCTCAGTCCATTGACCATGGAAAGAATTTGTTTCCTCTTACAGGAAGACTTGGGTAAGCTTCAGCGATGGCGATGACAGCAGCCAATTTCTTGGAGTCATCAGGATGCAGTTCAAAAACATCCCCTCCTCGCTGCCATTATGGGTTACAGAGGAGCAGAAGGCACTCCCCGTAAACAATGAGGAGCTTGTTCACCCTCACAAGCATTGAAAGCGAGCATGATGTGAGCCACCAAGTTCATGGGGAAATCAGTCAGCCAAGGCATTGCTGCCTGTGTCCTGCAGGAAGCTGTGTCCAGGACAAAAACAACCCTACAGCTCTAGGAGAAACGCAAGGCACGGCAAAGAACAGCTCGCACCAGGGCAAAGATGCGCGAATATCCCGTACCTTAGACTGCACTGTGCCCTCTCCTGTGCTCACGATCGGCTTCTGTGGTGACAAGGCTAACATGTGGCTTCCTTTCACAGTGACATACTGCTGCACGGAGGTCTGAGTGGTTGTCCCCGTTGACGGCACCTGGGGTTGCTGGGGCAGTTCTCCTGGTTCCTGTTTTATTATCACCTTTTAAATAAAGACATATAAACAACAAAACAACTAAATCACTAGGGATCAGCTCTGCTAAAGCCTGTCTACAAGAAAGGGCATGCAAAGTAACTCACACATGGTTCATACTCTCCAACCTACCTCCTGAGTGCAAGGTGGGGGCTACTCCTGACACACACGTGTGGTGTGGGTCTCTATTTATAAAATATTCCAAATACAAGAAATGCTGATAGAAATTGTCAGCAATGCTGCAATTTCTAGTAAAACTACTAACGGACTTGGCCATATATGTCTCTGAACTTCCAGAATGGAAGGTTTCAAATTTATAAACACCTTCCCTGTTTAGAACATGCTCGAAAGCTTTTTTTCTGTCCTGTAAAATCATAATCAATGTTACAGATATTGTAACTGAATATAGTTGATATTAATCTTTCATGTATAGCTACAAATAGTTATAATTGCTAAAATTGGCGGCTTAAAATAGGCTGATTTTTGTGTTAGATTGCTGCAAGTATCAGATGTGGTAGGAGGTATTCTTTCAGGTAACTCTTGGATCACCTAATATTACCAGAAAAAAAGTCTTTAAATTCAGGGTGGCAAAATTTAAGGAAATGTACTTGCAAATGGCAATGCCTGACACTCAGAAATCACTAAAGCATGTTGTGCGAAACTCCTGATGGATGAGCTTACCTTTTATCATACATCTTGCATGCATCTTAGCATGTAAAGCTAAGAAATAGCTCTGAAAATATTAGCTTTATATGTAGTAATTTAAAGAAAACAAGAAAGGATGAAAAAGGCAGCCAAAAAAAAAAAAAAATCATGGTAAGATTAGAGCCTTGAGAGAGGAGAGAGAGACACTTCATCCCGACTCCAGCAACATTTTTTTCCAGGCATTGGAAATTATAGGCTTTGTGGCAAGGGTTGGCACTAAATGGTGCTACTGTGCTCTCTATTCCTGCACAAAAGCCGAAAGAAATACCTTCGTAAAAGCTCCAAGGCCTCCCGTCACGGATTTGGGGCTTTGCACCTTGGAATGACTTCCAATGGGACAAAGGGGTGGCATGGTGGCAAAAAGAGAATCCTCCTGCTGCACAAAGACAGACATGGCACAACAATCAACGAAATATGCAGTATAAGAAATAAAGCAAGAGATTCCCAGTGAAGGGTAGCATGAATAATTCAGGTAAATCTAAATTACCTGCGCAGATTAGTCATTTCCAAAATCAGTCAACACTGGCATAAAAGTGCATACACAGTGCAAACCCTCAAAGCGAATTTTATTTGACAACTTACATGTCCAATGGCAGCAAGTCTTACCACATCATAAACAAGTGAAAGAAATCCACGTAAGCTCCTCCACTAGATTTTATATATAACATTTCAGAGCTGCATAATTAAAGTAGGCAAATAATTTGCATACTTTAGCCTTGAGAAGAGAAGGCTCAGTAAGTTTCTTATCAAAATGTATAGATACTCGATGGGAGGGTGTAAAGAAGATAGAGTCGGACATTTCTTAATGGCATCCAATAAAACGACATGAGGCAATGGACACAAATACAAGAAACTATTTAGACATAAGAAAAAACTCTTTTTACTGTAGTAATGATGGAGGACTGGAACAGGCTGCCCTGAGATGTTTGAGTCTCCATCCTTGCAAATACTCAGAACCCAAATGGACACGGTACTGAGCAAGCTGCTCTAGTTGATGCTGCTCTGGGCAGGGAAGGTAAACTAGATGATCTCCAGAGGTTCCCTCCAACCTTAGCTGTTCTATGATACTATATACAATCCAAGATACGGACGAACCACCATCACATGTCCCTGCTGGAGCAGGAGGGTTGGACTAGATGATCTCTAGAGATCCCTTCCAACCCGAACCATTCTGTAATTCTGTGGGACAAAACTGTTCAATTTAAATCTGCAATCCCATCTCATGATTCTCCTTCTCTCCTATGAGCAGCACACACACACACCTAGCAGCACACAGACTTTCCAAGCAGAACAGGCAGAAATAGCGAGGCTACCTAGCTAAACGGGATAAACACACTTCCACGCCTGAAAAACTGTGAATATTTCATTCTTGGACTTCATGCTGGTAGAGAAGTCAAACACATTTCAGGATGATTATGATTATGTTTTGATTAATTAAAATAATTGCATTCTTTTACAATGAGCATGAACTCTGAGGCTACAGTTTCACAATCCCTTTGACCCAAGGACAGGTGACGACCAAAAACCTCTTAACTCCAAACTCCTGACACCTTCCTTATGCAGACACCTGTGACTGAAAGTAGGTCAGAGAATTACTTGCTCTGCTTCACCAAATGCCTACACACATACTAGCAAAGAGGAAGAGGTGTGACAACATGCTAGGGACATGGGGAGGGAGTCCTTTGGACAGCAGCACGCACCTAGGTCATTTCAGGCTGACTAAGAAAACACAGCCTTAAATCATTAAGGATACAGAGCAAACCAGAAAGCATCTAATGAGACGAAAACTAGTGAATTAACCATAGACTGTAACATCTGCCAACTAGGAGATATTCCCCCACTCTCAAAGAAATCTTTAAAAATACAAGCTCTTCATCAAACTTACGTAAATAGAATATTATGTGAACATGTCAGAGTTGTGATTTTTAAAAAGAATCTTCAGATTTGAACTGGCTTTGTTCTGGAAATACAGAGCTCAATCAAATGTAGTGATATGTGCCTATTTTGACTCATTTAAAACCTTACAGAATGAACAGTCTCAAACCAGAGAAAAATACAGATTAAGAATGCTTTAAAACTGTTAAATGAAATCCATCTGAGAGAGACATTCTTAAAGAAAATGGGTTAGCTGCATATCTGATATTTAAAATGCTACTCCAAACTAACTGTTTAGATAGTGATTTTCGGTATGTCTTTCCTAACAGACCCGGGAAGCATTCCAGTTACGGATATAAATGCACTCTGTAGGCTGCCTGGCAAACTCCCTCCAGCATTAATATTCTTGCGACTCAGAATTAGGGATATGCTCCTGATTTCATCAGCATATCCACCAGTTTCTTTTTGATGATGTCACTTCCCTGCTGAAAATGTCTTTCCTTGTGCACGACATGAGAGAGAGTTTATCTGACAGAGTTCAGTTGAATTCCTTTGGGGCTTTGCAGATGACAAGCATGATCCCTCTTCACCACTGTTAATGTATTCAATTACTCCACTGTTTACATGAACATATTTCTAAATTCAGACAGCCAAAAAGCCACTAAACAACCTATTTTCAATTTAGGAATAGCTGCTGTGCAAAAATAACAAACACAGTGAATGCTCCGAGGAAGGCATCTCTAGTGTAATCACATATTGACATCCATGAAGTGGAGATCAGTCATTTATGGAACAGCCCATTAGAAAGGAGGGGCACTGAGAGCTGTGCCCTGTACGGATTTCCTCATGGTAAAACAGAAAAATGGTGCCTTAACGGAGGTACAATTTAAATAAAGCTGCATAAATTGACACTGTCATCTTGTATAACACCTTGTTCTTATACGACTACAGCTGCTAGACAGACTAAATCTTCATATTAAACAGTAAGAAGTTCCCCGAGAGGCAGGATTTATCATACGGAAAAAAACTACTCCATAGGAAGCTGGGTTTTGAATGGAAAGTACACACCTAACAAGAACATTACCTTGACAGCTGAGGTTACAAAACTGCTCCCATGGGTCTTTGATACAGGAGATCCAGTTCCATGAGAGGCCTGACAAACATTTGTCAGTTTGCTGGTTGGGCTCCCTGCATATTGGGAAACAAAGCAGATTTGAAGTGAGGGTCACAGAGAAGTGCCACATATGAAACTTTTCCTCTAACAAGGAAGATAGTGTTTCACTTCAGGTTTATAATCTATCTCCATGAGGAACACAAAATGAGGTATGTCACTGGGAGTTGGGATGGGCACAAGCCAAAATATTTTTTCTTATGAATCTTAAAAAAAAAAAAATCCAAAATATTAATATTCCTAAGAAACTGAAATAATTATAAAAATAATGGGGAAGATTAGGTCTTTGTCTCCATCACCTTCATGAAATTAGAAAGGTGACAATTCTAAAATATTTGAACAATTTCCTGTTTATTATTCTAGTTAGCCCTAAAAGTCCATCTAGTTCTGCAGCACCTAGGACAGCGACAGCCACTACCAAATTCTCCTGTGCAAGATCCTTACCTCAGTGAGCTCACATTCCACTTAAAGCTCTGTTCCTTGAAAAAAAGTCCAGAAACTTGCTGGACAACTGAAGATATTAGCTACAGATGTGCATATGTGAGATTAAATGAGGTGCAAGTCAGAATTTGCTGCTACAAGGGGAATTCCCTCCCCTCCCCAGAGGTCCTCTAAACCTACACTACTCTCAGTCACTGGCATCTGGAAGGGTCTGAGGAAGCCGGAAGAAATGGCAGGAGAAATGAATACCAGAAAAGGAGTGATGCACTGCGAGGAGTAACAAGACAGAGTGAGGCAGGGAAAGAAAAGGAAACAGAAATAAGAAATGAAGTCACAGGTCCCTCTATCTGCAGATGACCACTCTGGGAAGAACACATGGAGATGTTTGTCACAGCACCTGACCACGACCACCAGAGCTGGATGCAGGTTCAGGAGTGGAAAGTCAGTGGTCAACTTACCCTTGCATTATCAGAGCATTTATACAACACATTGCTGCTCAGCAGCAGTTTTGTTACTACTCGTGGATTGGTTTTGTTTGTTCTGTTTGTTAAGAGACACAAAAGCTGTGGATTATACACATGAAAACACAACAACAGTCTCTCGGATAGACTTATCACAATCCCTACTGAAATTTAAAAGTAAACTCTACAACCATTTCTAGAAATAAGTGTGTTTGTGAAGGTTGGCTTTTACAAAGCATGACGTTTCATACCTCATCCTTCTTTAAATATCACTGTCGGAATTATCAACAATGTCTGATCCACAACCCCTCTCCATCCCTCGCACAGGGCCTGGCAAGGAGGCTATCTGATAATAAAAGTCAATTTGGGGTGGAGGACAGTCTTCCACTCTGCTACTGAGCTGATCTAACTTACGCCTCAGACTCTGAGCTGATCTAACTCGCGTGACATAGAAGAAGGTAGCAGTAAATCAAGGTAAGGAAGTGGGAGTAAAGAGTGTTTTTTCAGGGTAATCTGTGCTTACATCACACAAATGGAGTAGGAAACTGCATCTTTAGAGGCATTAAGAGCTGTAAGTCCAGCCCAGCTGGTTGGTACCTGTACAAATCCTATCCCCCATGCACAAATCTCTACCAGGAGAGCAGGAAAGTTACCCAAACCATGACACACCATATGCAATTTCCAACGCAGATCAGATAGTCAGGGTGGAAGTGTGGAAGAACTGAAAACAAAACTAGTGGTGAAACAGCTTCACTGTTACCAAGCAAGCATCAAAATATACTTGAACTGTTTCTATTAGATTCTCTCTAGCAAATCTCTTATGAAGTTAAAATTAAAAAACAAACAAACAAACAAAACAGCACAGTTGTTGATTCTCTCTTCCCATTGGACAAAAGGAGGAAGCACTGTTAAGTGAATTTTTTTTTCATTTTCCAGTTGAGCCTAGAGAAGTGTTTGTGCCACCTGGACACTGCAGATCCCCACATGGCTTTGAGCATCATTCTAAGATGTCGGCAAATACATATACGCACAAGGCAAGTGTGTTTTCAAACTGACAGCAATTCTTGACTAGTGCATTGCAAAAATAACAACAACAGGAAAAGATTTGCAAGTAGTCACCTTCACCTAAACTTGCGCAAAGATTACCAGCTGGTTCCCACACCCATCACTCATTCAGTTCAGTGCTCCTCCCCTCCTTGATACCAGGTCTATGTCACCTTTGAAGCACCTTGGAAACTCAGTTGGAGGGATCCAACCTTGCTGGAATCAAACCAGCTAGAGGTTGACAGCAGTAACAAAATTTAGTGATTTGTTTTCCTGGTAATCCAGGTCTCCTCAATCATTTCAACACATCTACAGCATAGCACACTGCGATTTCGCTGCAAGGTGCTGCGAGCTCTACCTTCTTTCTGCCCATAGCCAAGAAACCACACCCTGTTATTGGCCTTGCAAGGAGCAAAACCTCCTCTGTGCACTTTTCTATCTTCACTCACTGAAGTACTATTAGCAGATTAACAATTTTAAAGGGAAAATGAACTTTAATGGGGGAAAAACTACAGCACTGCTTTCTATGATCACACTACACACCTGTGCTCGTGGTTGCTGCTCCAACCATCTGTCCAGGCTTGTCCACAATAACATACGGATTATTAATGACTGAGCTAGCAGAGCCTTGCTTCATGGGCACTGGAGTGGAGGTTGGGGTACGAGGTAGCGGAGATGGACTAGGGGTCGATATTGGAGAACCTTAAGAAAAAAAATGCTTCTATCTTGTAAATCTCATAAAAACATTAAAAGAAAAAAAAAAAAGAGCAGTATTTTTAAAAAATGACTTGACACATTCTTTGAGGATGCATTTCCCAGTTTGAGGAAGATCACAGGACTTGGAGAAGGAAGGAAGGGACAGAAAGAAAAAAGGAGGAATGCAAAGCATATGGCTCACACCTACCCAGGGCTTTCTTTGTCTATCAAGACAAATGTCCCAAAGGGATGTTGAGAAGCCATACAGTCCATCCTCTAATGCTGAAGTTGATTCACATTACCTGAATTATTATCCCTGCCAATCCAGCCTGCCCAAGGAGATGAACGAAGAGAGATAAGCTCCTTGATGTGCACTTTCTTTCCCTTGTGGAGCCTACAGTGCACACATTCAGAGCCAACTATGAAATGTTTGTGTAGGAAGGCTGCGAAGCACAGCAGTTGTTAGGTAGGCCAGGCTATTCTGGTCTCTGTGTCCCATTGCAGGAGAAGCTCTTGAAAGCAACTACTGTAGAGTGTGCAGCTTCTGGGCAAAGGGAAGAGGAAAAAGCTGAAGAGTGAAAGAAGACACAATAAATGCACACAAGAGGACAGGTAAGGAAGTGATCAGAAAAGGAGATGGCAGCAAACACTAAACATCATATGCCTATTAGTCTGCTTCCTTGGGAGGTACTGACAGCTAGAGGAGAGGAGAAATGACAACCAGGGAAAATCCCAACAACTTATAAATTGTGGTGGAAATCAGAGGAGTGACACTTAGCAGACAGAAGATCCTTGAAAAACAAAACATTTGTCAAGGAAATATTTAAATAGCAAAGATCAACAGAGAACAGACCAAGGATTTTAAGAAGGACAAGCTGTCCTGGAATTCTTGCTTTCTGGGAAGCTTTGGAAGTAGCAGCTCAGGAGTGGATAGCGAGAAAGACAACGTACTTGAGAGATGTTCATATGTAAATTGCCAGTAGCTTGAGTAAAGTTTTAAGATGTCAAGGGGAAAATACAGAAAGAGAAGAAAAAACAAGCTTGAGGAAAATGAAGCTGGGAGCAGATCAGAAATCGCACAAACTGATAATTGGCAGTTCATTCTCTCTACCCTGAACACCAGAAAATGAAGGGATGTAACAAGTCATCCTTTCATATTCACAGCAAGTGACTTGGTGAGTTGCATCTGATGTAAAACATCCTTTAGTGGAGGGTTTTGTGCCCAGGTAGACAAGGGAGTGTAAGTCAAGTTAATAAACAGCATCCTGATCACAGTTTGGAACCTGGTAAAATATTTCATATTGTTCACTACAGTCACCTGATGATTTAATCCAACAAAGAGCAGATTTTCAGAAGAGGAAGACGAAAACTGCTCAATCTAAGGGAGTTGATACTGCAAATACTAGAGGGCTCATTTGAGTGTCCAAGGTGGAACATATTTACTGCCCCATAATCAACAGGAAGGGCGAGAAGCAATTCCTCTTAATCCAGCCCAGAGGTATCTAAAAGCTGGGGAGAGAAGAATGGCTTCTTCTCATACTCAAATTCCCATGTGGGAGAAGAATACTTGCCTGGGTCTTTGCATGGGTCCAGTTAAAGACTATCACTTGCATACTCAAAAGCATTCAAGAATAAGGAGAGAACAGCTGTATTTGATCTTGAGCTGATAAGGCAAGCACTTCATCCCTATATTTATTTTTCCTTTAATATTTGAATCATGTTTAGCTCCTTATTCTAGAATTTCCTATTGCCTGATGTTCAAACACTGCCAGGAAAACTGGAGAAAGACACAAAACAGGCCCAACTGGTTCAGTCTCTTGTTTTCCACTACGGTGAAGCACTCAGATATGTAAACTAACATTCACCTGATACAATCTTGCAACTCATGGTGATAGGCTGGAAGGATTTTCCTGGAGACTCTGCAGGGCTGGGAATCTGACCTTGAGACACTATTTTGCAGCTAGCTGCAATGGGTTGAAAGGCTGAATTTCCATGAGAGCCCAAGGCAACTTTCTGTGTGGCTAATTTGGTGGGAGTCCGTTCTATCGAAGATGGCAGAGAATAAAACGTGGCATGTCTTTCAGTTTCAGCATTCCCAGGGAATCCTGATTAAAACAGGGAAAAGAAGAAAAATAGTTCTTAAGCTGAGACATCTAATTCCTTACTGTGCTTTTCTACACAAACACAATTAAGGTACAACAAATATGCTCTCAAATCAAGGAAGGAAAAGCAACTGGTGGGCAGAGCTAAATGGTGAGAAGGTGGCGTAAGGGCTCCTCCTGTGCAAGCCTGTTGCATTTGTCTCTGCAGAGAACTATGTGCATCATGCAGCCTGCCAAGCTTTGCTTGGCTATCAGCCACTTCTGACAGGTTTTCTTGGTAAGACCCTTCCACTGAGCAAAAGCTGCTGGTAGTGTTGAGTGTCCACAAATAGCTTTTCACACAGCCAAGGCAGCATTTCCTTCCCAGAGAAGTTCTCGCTGCATTTTTTTTTGAGTAAAAGCACAAGGAGACCAACTACCGCCTTCTGATCTGTGTTTAGGAATCCATCTTATTTAACGTAGAAAGAGATCAATCGGTGATGACCTGATGAGAAAAGCTGGTGCCATTTAGCACAAGAAAGGTACAGTTTTACCTCCTTTTGTTTTTGTAGCGCTACCGACCTAAACGTGCTGCACATCTTCATGTCTGAATATAATACTGTGCATTTAAAACACAGTTACATTTCTCTTCTTTTTGGCTGTGCTGCTGGCATAAGAAAACACCACAGTTGAACTATGGACTTTCTTTTCTCATCATGGAGCCAGGACAACATCAGCAGCATCATATGATCTACCAGAAAGATGCAACATGTAAGACATAAGCATTACAGCCACTGCTTTACACAGGAGTGTCAGGATAGACCAAGAATGGCATCAAACCATTTTGCATATGATCACATTTTGAAATATGTTAAGTTCCTGTTTTTTGCTACTTTCTTGTGAGAAAATGTGAGACCTATAAGAGCCCCTTGTTTCTCAGTCCAGCTGAGTTCTGTTATACAAGCCTTGACATCATGTATTTGAGGAAAAAAAAAAAGTTAAAATGAAAACAGAGGCACAGTTTTTCCTACTTCAAACTAAAGTTTCCTTCTGCAAACTAAAAATCAGAATACTGTGCTCAAATGGCCAGTATTGAGCTTGTCCCAGGTGATTCCACCACATTGCAAGGGGCTCTAGGGAATTCAGACCAAGCAGGTGGCTGCTTAAGACAGCAGGTGACGACAAAGCAGTTTTGCACCACAAGAGGGAATACGTTTGCTTCAAAAGGATCAAACGATGATATTTACACAAACTTATGCCATATTTAGAGAACAGATTTTAATTTAGATTATTTGGACTGTACAAACTTTTTTTGTTGTGAAAGTGAATTCCCAGTAAGAGGCAGATACAAAAACCGCCTCTAAGCTTTCAGTACTAAAGAGAGAACTTGGGAGGGAATGGTTGTGGCAAAAGGAGATTGGTTTCCGTTCAAAACACAAAGACCACACTCCTAACTCAGAATGTTGACATCAACAGGAGCAAAACAGTACCTGCAATGCAAGGGGTTGTGACTAGGACTGAAGGAAGCTGGAATTCTCTGGAGTACTGAGAGTGCAGGGAACTCTTGGATGACCATAGCTGAGAGAACAAGCTAATTTCTTTGCTCTAAGAAGGCTTAAACTATCACTTCTCTGCAGATTGGAGTCCAGGTCAAGCCTCCACTTGGTAAAAAGGCATCCTGAGCCCCGAAAGCCATAAGCAGCTTTCTCTGTGCCTTGGAGCCCCACTGAGGCCGCGTGACAAGCACACACTTTGGTCTTGTGGGGAAGGTGAAAATGGCACTGAGAAAGTCACCGATATGCATGGCGTCCACCTCTTGGAAAGCTGTACACTATGACATCTTTTGCACTGTCTACATTCAACACCACAGTTACACCTGGACATACCGCTAGACTAATCCCTCAGCTATACACACAGAGGTCCCAAAGCATTTAGAAACCACAACACTTCTCTGAAAACACTCTCTGTCCAGAGCAAAATTACAACTGCTGCTCAACAACCATTCTTCCCAGCCACATGTGCTGCACAAAGCCACACGTTCACTAAGCTGAGCAGAATAGAGCCTACTCAACAAACTCGAGCTTCAAAAAGAAAAGTCAAACATCAAATAAACAGTTACCATTTCTGAAATCCATTTTCCAGAACACTGAGGAATTAAATCATCTGGTATGAATAACAAGCACTGGCAACCTTTAAGCCCAAGGAGGTATCCAGAAGAGCCAAGGTTCCAAAAATATACCCATACCCATTTGCTTTACCTTTGTCTGCAGAAGCATCCGGGCTGGAGTCATGCAACTGTTTAATTGGTGAAGAAGCTTTAACTGGTGCTGGGATACTCAATGGCAGTGGTAAAGATGTAGGAACATCAGAAAGCTCAGACTCTGGAGACTGGGAAAAGAGATACTCCTCGCCAAGGGAATGCCTATGTAGCTCCACATCCACTACCTTCCAGAAATAGGTGAAAGGATAATATTAATAGTTGGTAGCTGGGTAAAGACACCTAAAGTGAAAATAAATGCCTCATTTTTTTTTAATGTTGCAGAATATCTGGAAATCTTCTCCCACCCTCTCTGCACTTCTGCATAAAATTTCCACTCATTTCAGGAAGAGACTGACCAGAAGTCCAGCAGCACCTAAGCTAGGCAAAAAAAATCTGCAACATGAAAATACCATAGTAAAATAGCACATCTCTCTGGCCATGGGAATATCTGAGTAGCAAAGAGTTAAGGCCAGATCCAAGCATGCTATGTATCCCCACAGGGATGGGCACTGAACTGCAGTTTGCCTTCTCTGACTTTTTTGAAAAAGGCCTTGAAAAACACACTATAACATCACCTACTCTTCAAAAATGTTCATTAATCACAGTAGACATCTCACATTGAAGTCTCTTCCACAGATTGAAAAGCTGAAATTTCACAATAAAAAATCCATTCGCTACAGTATGAGGGAAAAATAATAAAAACGATAAGGTTATAACAGACTATGACTTATTCATTCATTTATTTTATTTACAGCTTTAACTATTTCCTTTTCCATGAATGTAATGAATGTTGAAACAGGCAGAGAGTTAGCAGTACTTTACTGCAAAATTTCAGCAGGATAGTTAGGTGATCCTCTTTATTTTAAATTCTTTATTTATGAAATGGGCAGCATATCAAGACATCTAGAAACAGAAGCTCCATAAAGAAATAATGAAAACTGTAGTATGGATTAACATTTCATTGAACTAGGCCTGGAGTTTCCCCTGCACTGGAAAGACAAAAATAAAAAAGACAAAGTGTTGTCACAAACAGTGACAAGCTGTTATAATTACTTCACTTAACAAGAGAGTAACCTACATTCCCAAAACTAGAAAAACAAACAGAGACAGCTCAGTACATAGTCCCTTATGGCTTTTTCCTTTTAAAAATCCTTAAGGGAGGCAATGTACAGCACCCCTCCCACAACGCATTCACTTACCGTTTCTGCGCCAAGCGTCTGCAGGCCTGTGTAGGTCCTGTCCAACTGAGCAAAGCAGCAAACATATTTATATTAACTGGGGTAAAACAATACATTAGCTAAAAATTACAATACAATTATCTGAAAAGAGCTGAAACTACATAATTTGAAAAATCCATCAAACGTTCTGAAGCCACAGGGTGAGAAATCTGTGTGCTGTTAAACACTGCCTTCTGCAAAATAACAGCTCCACAGTCCAAAGTCTATGCTAAAGAAGAAAGGGAGAAAAAAGCTAAAGACAGTGAGTCGTTGGGGAAACATGCAGTCCCATGCAGCTGCAGTGTGGCACGGGAGACACAGGCAGACTAGGAAGTTGGCCTACATAGGAGGAAGGCGATTGAAGCATCTAACTAACTGTCCCTGCTCATGTTCTTCATGCATTCAAAGACAAGAAATGAACAGGAAATCCCAGCCTCTCCTCTCCCTGCCCATTCTGCCAACAGACAAAAACTCTAGCTGAAGGCGGGAGTGGACGGACAGAACAAACATAACAGTCACTTCACCAAGAGGAAGAGAACCTGCAGTAACCTTTCAAGTTAAAGGCAGTAGAAGGATGATAAAATCTCAAACTGCAGAGCAGGAGTATCTACCTCCTTTGCTGCTCCGAGTAGAATCAACTCCAGCTTTTGGTAGACTGGGTTCCTCAGCTACAGCATCATTTCTACCAGAGCCAAGGTTGCCTTTCCTGAATCTTCTTTTGATTCTCCATCTCAACCATTCATGTATAAATGAGCAGCAGGACAGAGATACAACAGAGGGAGGTGGAAACATAAACAAAAGCAGAGCCTCCTCTAGATTATGCAGAAGAAAATGTTTAATTGCCTTTCTCTCAATCATTCTATTCAAATACCTTCAAATTGTGTATGATATCAATCCTCTTGTTCTGGCTATCCTTAAAGTGAATCTGGACTCTCACAGGAAACTCTCCCCAGCCTCTCCTGGTCAGGTGAAACGGAGGTTCTCTGGAAACAAATGATGGTTCACATTTTGGATGCAAAAGAGACAGTTTTCACCATCTCTTTTTCAGAAAACCTAAGACTGCTTTCTTGAAAGTTACCCTCAGTCCTGCCGTTCAGCATGGACAGAACACTAAGTCTGATCAAGTGACTAAATCTACAAAAATTCTCACTTCTGTAGACAGCTCAAAACATATTTTCACCTTGCATAATGGAAGAGGAAAGAAAACTATAAAACAGTATCTTGGAGTAGAGAGCATCAGGGACAACTGCCATTTTAAAAAAAGAGCTGCTTCAAACACAAGATATATATATATATTTAATAGAAGCCAAAGTAAGTTCCTAGGGCACTGCTGCAAGGTGAGTTCTCAAGACTGCATTTTGCAGTCTCTATTATCCCCTATCTACTGCCAAAAAGGCACACAGCACAACAAACATATACCAAAGAAAAGCTAACTCCATTAGCACTAGCCTCCAAGCTGAAAAGAAGGCCATATTTATCTCTAATATTTGCCATAACTCTGAACTGTAGTTTAATTGTAAATCCCAATCTTTGCACAGAAACAAACCACAAGAGGTTTAAAGGTTATTTTCAATCCAGAACATGAATGTTAATTAAAATGACTGGGATTATGCTACAGTAAGAAATCAATTAACTAGAAGGGATTAAACGAGGAGACAACAGCACTGGTGAGACTGAAATGGAGAAGGCACAAAATATATAGCATCCAGGTGTAATTATGTAAGTATGTTACATAAGTAAGAGGAGTCTGTTTTCATCCACCTCACCACCTCAATGATCTCAGGATAATTAGTGACCCTTACCAACACTTCTCATCTCAGATATGTCTTTCTGGAGTTGCCTTTTAAGACACATCTATTTTGTCAGATTTATGTTGATATTTTGTACCTAGGCATCACAAATCTAGCTTTCCTTCAAATAGGCAACAGATCCTACTTTAGAGAATAATTTCTTTGGGAAGACACAAAGTAGCTTGAAGGTTTCTTCCCACTGTTTGTGCAAAGAAACAAGAATGAGTTTGTGCTACTTTCCTGTAGCACCACCACAGTCAAGGGAAATTAATTCTGTGAAGCAGAGTCAACCCCGCTGACCTCACTACAGAGGAGAAATATTTGGAAGGGGATAAAATTTCTTCCCAAATACATATAAATCGTTTAAACTATGGGCCAATTAGCTTTCTGAGACTCCTCTTTCTCTTCCACAAGGGACTGAGAGAGAGAGAGAGAGAACATGTTTTAACAATAAAAGCCTAACCTGAACAGGGGGCAGGCTGATACATCGAGTAGATGCACTAACTCATATAGAGAGCACAAAATAAAAAGCTTTTGATAGTAGGAAAACCCAAAAAACTCTCACATAAATACACAAAAATACATAAAAGCTGATTATTTTCGACTATTATTTGGTGAGCAAGTCCAGCAGACTGGAGGTTAGCGTAAGGCATGGAATACAAAATAAGGAAAATTTCTACATTTTACAAATTTCTAAATTTCTACAAATCTGAGCATTTAAAGTGCAGCAAGCATGAAACTGGAATAGTGCCTTATTACCTCACTTCTACCAGGTCATTAGGTTTGTAACTGGGGTGGAGGAAGAACCAAACTTTCTTGACAAAATGATTTATGCTGGGTTCTCGCCGAGAGCCTCGGACATAGACCATCCATTTATGGGTTGACTGATCATTTTCTTCTCTCTTGTCTGGGGGAATGTATCTGGCAGAGAAGTTAAAAATAAATAAATAAATAAATAAAAAGATAAGAAGATAAACCTAACAAAAAGTGCCGTGGGGAAGACTAGACAAAGAAAAATATGAATGGCAACGTGCTTAACCTAGCCCATTTAGAGTTCTGCTCATTATTCCATATTCTAATATTCCATCAAGCTCTCCAAAAAAATTCCTTCAGAAAACAAATTTGGATTTCATAAACTTATTTCTATATTATGCTTCTAATATATCTCCTCAGTATCTCAGTGCAGAACTGCCATATGACACCCTTGCATTTAAACACGTCTAAATTTTAATGTTTTACTACCATCATTATCAAAACTTCCTCCCCATTTCTTCTGAATTGTTGAGACTCCCACATCATTTCAGAGCACATGGGTAACGTGGGACCATACACACATAAAAAAGCAATTCTTAAAAAACTGTAAGAAGTTTCATAGACAATCTGGTTCTGGGTACATTTTCAAGAAATAATTCACTCTCATTTCAAGACAACGATTCTAATCTCATCAGTCAATGTTCACTATTTTACATACACACACAAAAAGAGACCAACTTAAGAGTGAACAGACTAGTCTGACAGTTTAAAACATGGACTTGTCCAAATTCTTCTTAAAGGATGCACTTCACTTATTTCCTCAAAGTTACGTCCCTGGTCTTAATTCTCTGTCTTAAAATTTGTGGGGAAATATCATAAAAACCTTCTATGAAAGAATTTCTTTATACTACGTTGGACTTTCATAGAATTTATCTCAGTCTCCCTCTTTTTTTTTTTTTTTCCCCCCTATTGTTTCTGTCAATACCATTCACACAGACCCACTGGCTGCTATTCTGGGCCACAAACACACTGAACTGGGGCAATTTGCTTTTCCAAGTCTTCATGGGGAAAAAAATATTTTTTAATTTATCTAAATTTGGAAGAAATAAATCTTAGCATCTCCATGCTTAACAACACCTATTCCTTCTCTGATGCCCTTCCAGAAACTCAAAGAGGGCACTTAAAGGCAAGATCTCAAACTACAACAAATTAACTCTTTAATTGTGTTTTTATTTAAACCTCTTAGTCTATTTGGTCCTGAAATGAAGAGCCATCGCTAAGACTTCTCATACTAACTTGGAGACGTTGCCAACCACAATTGTTTTCTTCACATAAAGCCGTGAAGTCTCATCATTTGACAATCCGGCATTTCGTTGTCCTGCTTTTTGAGAGTTTGAAACACCTGAACTCTCCTGAGGGTAGGGAAAGAAAAAAAGGCAAATTAAAAAAAAACAAACAAACAAACATTGCTCTTAAACATTATTTTGTTTGGCACTAGGAAAGTAAAGCATTGTTAGGAAAATAAAGGCATGCAGCAATGTGAGAGACAAATAACCAACAATTTCTAAAGTAAGATATCCAAATTGCTCACTAGGCATATCTGAATAACTCAGGTGTACTATGCAGTCAAGTGTGCACTGCAAGGATAAGCTCGGTGGAGGTTATGCAGCACACCAGGATTGGAGCCATGACTCTAGGCTGCCTTTCAGCACTGGCAATGCACTATCTGAAAGATCAACCACAGTTAGAGTGGCATCAACTGATGTCTAACCAAAACCAAAAATGAGCCTCTCATGAGCTGCTTCCACAAATCCTTCCCTTTCCCAATCTGTGGTGCTTTGAGGACCCTTCCATGTTGCTTTAACACTCCAAATAAAGGCTGCTCCTGGGGAAGGAAATGAGCCTCAACTACGACAGCATGGAAGTCAGCCATATCGTGTCACTGACAGCTAGACAAGCTTACAAATCTACTGCAGTGGTTGGACATAATAAAAGCAGCATAGGCAACCCTGTTACTCAATTTCAGCTATTAATTGTGGCCAAGATTATGCCAGACTCAAGCAATACAACCACGCCACAGAAGTCCCTACTGCAATAAAATTCTACTGTCCAGTTAACAGCAGTTATATTCTGCTGTTATGACCCAGGTGGGTCCACTGTATATGTTGCACACCTGCCTCCTGCTATGGATCCTGCAGGGTTTCAGCAAACTGCAGCCCTTTTAACAAGGGAAACCCAGTGCTTGTTTGGTGGAGAATCAGCACTGCTCCTGCAGCTTAGCCCTGCAACTTGCTAACTGTACAGTTTAGTTATATTCAACAAGATACAAGCATCTCTGGGTTGGATGGCTCTAGAGGCTGCACTCCTCTGCCAGGCCTGGGACTGAACAAGACAGAAAGGAAATTGGTTCCTCACCACTGCTGAGAATGACATGTATCTTGCTCTTTTCTCCAGGCTCTACCCTACCCAATCTGACTTCTGGCTGCAGAGCAAAACGCTTTGCTGGAGCTGTGGGATACCTCCTTCCCCAGAGGCCAAGACAGCAGCAGATCACGAGTGCTAACATGCATGCTGTTACTACTCCCTGGGTCCCTTCTCTGTTGGGCAAGACTGAATTAAGAGGCATTAACTCAAGCTACATGCACTTCAGTCAGCCTCCCAGCAAAGCTAGGCTGAAGGACTGGGAACAAGTAGTTGGGAGGGTAAGAAACAGATCTTCAGGGAGATGGGCGAAAATATGAAGAGCTGCTGGTGCTGGCACCACGTCCAGACAGAGCACACATCTCCAACAACTTGATTGCTACTCGAGTTTTACTTTACCCGGCCAGTATTTCTGCTCTGTCTCTGGTCCAGGCTATTGGCCAGCCTTTCCTCTCCATCCAGGTTGCCATTATCCTTGTCCAGGAGGAAGTCATTGTGCTGAGAGAGCGAGTCGCTTTCGGAGTGGTTGGCAAATGGAGTGTCTGACCCCTGGTTAGCAGGGGATGAGGATCTGGAGGGCGATTCTAAAAACTTTTTGATTGAAGGGTGATTAAGAATCGTTGCATCACATGACCTTGTCCCCTGCAAGAGATGCCAGACAAAGTCATTATTCTCCCTTTAGCCCAGATAAAATGAGGCTCTGCCAGAGCAGAAAAAATAATGACCAAAGGAAGGTAAAATATTTAATCAGCTACCTTGCAAGTAAAACATATGCCACAGAAGATAAAAGCTTGTAACTGTCCTACAGAGGCAAGAGCCCAAATCTAATCATTTTCTATAAGCCTTTAGATCCCAGAAACCTATCCACTTCTGGAAAGAAGGTCTACAACCTAGTCAGACACCCATAACATCACACTGCAAGTAATGGCTTCCCTCCCTTGGAAAGTATGTACAGTTTCCTTTCACACACAGTGAGGCCAGAGCTGTCTGACTCTTGAAGCAAGCAGAGTATGTAAATGTATTTGACTGTTGCTCCTGTGCATGCCTACGAGGCAAGCTGCACATATGAGTGCACTGGCTGCTCACAAAAACTTAACAGGGGATGAAGAATAGTATGCTTAGGCATGCTTGCAAAGTTGTCTCAAACCAGACATATTAGAGCTTGCCTTATACACTCCCAAACCTACCTATATAGGTGCCTGCAAAGACTGCAGGGGTGAAGGTGCTTAGACCTTTTTTTTTTTTCCCATTACTCTAACAAAGACCCAATAGATTTTTTCTGAATTTGCTTTTAATGCCAGAATTATCAAGGAAAACACTCATTGCTCATCAAAGCAAGCGTCCTGCCGCCAGTTCTCCTCCGAGACCCTAACTCCATCTCCTTCAGGAAACCCTGCTTTGATGATGAATCAACTAAGCAGAAACAACCCCCTTTCAGCTTTCAGATGTCACAAGGAGAGCCAAGGCTGGTCACAAGGAGAAACAATACAGACAACAACGGCTCGGTTTGCTTTTCTTTGCACGGTTATTTGTAACCCACATCCCTGGTGTGACCAAAATCCTGCTGCGAGGACAGAGTGGGTAGCTTGGAGGCAACCCCAGCAGTACTGGGAGTGGAGTTGTCTTCAAGAGGTGAGAGCAGCAAGGGAGTTGAGTACTGTCTTGTCATGACTTCAAAGCTTTGCTGGAGAGCTTTTTTCTTTCAGTGGTATGCTAGGCATGTGATCCCAACAACCCACAACTCTCCCTGCTCAAGAATACTTGGAGCAGTTTTGAAACCTAAATCTTGACCTTTTACTTTGCTACACACAAACAGAAATCCTACCAATTCCCCCCCCAAAACCAGAAAGCTCATCTATAAAACAAAACAAAAAAATCCTAACAGTTTTGTTCCTTCAGCTTTGTTTAGGTTCTTTCAAAATATCCAATATACAACACATTGTCCACTAGTTTGTGGGGAGCAAAAAACGAAACAAAACAAAAAACCTGTAATCAATCATGCTTCGTTGTAAGCCTCAAAACTTGGCAATACTAGGTTAATTTTTTAATATTAGAAGAGATTAGGAATTTGCGAAAAATCTTCCTCGAACCTCACAGGCATTTATATAATAATACAACAAATTAAACTACAGAAGGCCTATATTCTAAAAGAAGCAGAAGACAGACAATCTTTTATTAGAAACAGAACCAAACAACCATTACCCATGCATTAAAACCAGACAACAAAAGAGAATCAAAACTAGTAATTAGATCTGATTTAGCCTTCATGCATGTCACAATTTTAGAAGCAATTTAAAAATCAAAGATATAACTATGCCAGCCATAAACTCATAAAAAGTACAGATAACAACAGTAATAATAACAATAAATTAATAATAACGAACATCAGACCTGGGCCATACCAGTAAGATGTGTGATTTCTATGAGTACTTCAAAACAATTCTTAAAGTTATTTTTTCTGGGAGGTGTGAAACTTAGCAAGAAAAAACAAACAAACAAACAAACAAAAAATCCCACTCTACATGACAGTAGAAGCTTTTGCTGACACATGATGACATTTGATAAAAATACTTAAAAACATGAGAATCTCACTCAGATTTTTCAGCCACTCACACATAAGTCACAACAGGAGAAGATCTCCAAGCTTCCAATACTATGATAATCTTTCCCACTTCCAGCTGCTCAACCAGAATCCAATGAGGAGAGGGGAAAAAAATGGTAGTGAAACAATCAGAAGCCTGCATTCAACCTCAGTATGAACAGGCCATAATTAGCAGGCCACTAAGGTCATGGTGCTCAAAATTGGTTTTTATCCCCACGTGAAATCTCTTTGATTTACATCAATTTACATACTCCTTTATCAACACCATCAAGTTCATCCACCTGAGTAAGGGAGAATGTTTTTATGTTCTGTACTGCCTGGGAACCTGCACTTCTTTCTAGACAATTCCCCAAATCAATCTGCTTCCTTACCCTACTGGGCTTTGTAAAGATGAAGTGAGTATCCTCATGCAAGAGCTCATAATAACAGACCATTTCAGGGGAAAAAAAAAAAAAAAAAAAAAGTTCTGAACTACTTGTTCAGTGAAGATTTGAAGATTTGTCTTGCTGGGTACCTGAGGCCTAATTAGTGGCACACAAGTCACCTTTCCCATCCCTGTTTGCATTCCAGATTCCACTCTTTCAGAAACTGCATCTCAAAACACAACACTAAACAGCCCACGGCCTACACAGGCTTTCCCTGCAAATAGTTCCTAAAGTCTAATTATTACAAAATTATTTTTTTTACCTCTCCAGCTTTAAGGAGACCAGCAGAAGCATAATAGTTGGCCACGATGCAGGCCCGCAGCTTATCCATCATCCTTCTTGCTTCGATCAGGCGCTACGAAAAGAAGAGGTAATGTATAACAATGGGCACCTAGTGCAGCAGTCCCCCAAACAACCTCATCCATTAGGACTTCAGTTAGTTTAAAGACTTTCATACCTGATCTATAACTTCAATTTCGTGTTCTTTATTCTTCATTTCTACCGCAAACTGTTCTTTTATAATTGTCTCAATCTTCTGCACAGCAACATCTCGAGCTGTAGAAGGCCACACATAGAAAACAAAGAAAAGGGAGTATTTTGTATTTTTATTTCTGAGGTTCTACTTGAGGGAAAAAAAAAACTACAAGCATAAATCACTAAGGAGTAAAAAAGTGATGGAATAAGCAGGAGGGATCATTTTTCTGCAGAAGAAAATCTCCTATCTTAACAAAAAACACCTATACCTTTAAAAGATGGTATATTTGGAGGATTTTTTTTTTCCTTTTTAGGCCTTAGAGGGCAAAAACTTTAGAAGATGGCAAGAGCAGGACTGGTTTGCTCACTTTTGTTTCAGTAAAGCTGGAAACAGGAAAAGGAAAACTCAAATTTGCTACTGCCAGGTGCAGTTACCACTGCAGCTGTGCTGAGGTACACTGGCATACTACTTACATCTTTCTGCCCTCTTTGGGAGAGAGTTCCAAATCCAGTCCATATCCAGGAAATTTAAACCACATCATGCAGGAACACCAACTCAAGTACTTTGTATGCTCAGCACTGGCACAAAGCACAGCCTGCTCTGGAGGGCCTACAAGCCTCTCATTATCCACACAAAAAACTATATTATCCACAGTCGGTCCGCTTCTCACAGAATCCTCTTCCAGCAGGATAGTCAAAAATTCCTATGCATTCTATGGAAGTTCACTGATCTTGGTAGAAAACATGTAGTTCAATATTTCAAATTGTTTTAATTCCTTACTGTAAATTAAGACTTTTGGAATTGAAACAGCATCTTTTTTTTTTCTACAACACGTATCAACAGAGAAAGAATAATTATTTTTGTTATACAGTTAACAAAGGTTTTAAATTCCCCCTCCTTTCAGCAGAGTACATTATATCTGGAAGATTCAACCAATACACCAGTTTTTAACAAGTTCAAAGTAGGAACTTGAAAAGGGGGAATTCTACTTGTAGAAAAAAAGCCAGTAAGAATCCTCCAGTAAGAGTCTTCCAGAAAAGGCAGCTCAGAGAAGCAGCTTAGGTTCCCTGGGAAAACTTGACATTGTTTGCAAGTGCTTCAGGGGAAGCATTTGCTTGACTAAAGGGCATACATCTGATTGTAGAGGTTTCTAATATCACAATAGAAAATATGAAGAAGACAAAGTTTGTTCAAAATTTGTACAGGTACATTGCACTTGGCACACAGAACTGTCTGATCAGACAGTCTGATCATAGTTACATAAATGGAAGTAATGCAGTTTATGGTTGCATTTGCCATATATTAATATATATGGTTGCATTTGACATATGTATATACTTTTATTATATTATTTCCAGGTATCTGCTCTGGAAGACCTGAAGGAAATCTTGCATAGAGAACTAGAACTCTTCCAAGAGAAGGAAGAAGCCCATTTGGAAGAATCACCTGAGCAATAAGTTCACTTTAAGAAGTTTTCCAAAAGCACTAAGACCTGTCTGGCTAACTATTAAAAACTTCTGAGAAGTTGCTTCAGAAGTAGCATAAAAATCTGCCCTCAGTCACTGGGATTCAACAGCACAAACAAGTGCAACTTCTGGCAGAGAGGTGGGAGCAGCAACACTGTTCTGCCACAGCTAGTTCCAGGAAGGCTCCACTGTCACATTGATCTGGAACCTGCAGACAAGACCTGACGTAGCAGCACAGAGTGAAGCTCAGGGTCTTCTAGTTTGTTCCAGCCGTACACTGTCCTCCAAAACATCACCTGTGAAACCATAACCTGTCCCTCTCCAGTTAGCAGCTCCAGCACCCTGCACCATTCGTGGATCCTCTTCAGATCCCACAGCCACCTTCGTTCTTCTAATTCCATCCTGCTCTTCACCCACTAGCTGTGCTACACCAAATACTGCTCTACCCCTCAGCCCTGTCATACAAGCGAGAGACTCTATTCTCACTTGCCTAGAGATTTAAACCTGACCTAGGCATCCAGCCAGCAGGATGGTTCCCAAACAGCGACGTGCTCCATGACAGTACCAAATGCAAAGCTACTCATCCACTCCTGCTCTCTACTTCTTTCTCCATCTTTCTTTCAGTGATGTAGTTACACGTAGTTACTCCTCTTTTTCATCCTTAAAAAAGAGCCATCTCCATAACTTACCCCTTCTACAACATTACCTCATTTCACTTCACCCACCTTCTCTTGGGATTATTTGTCTCCCTTTTCCTAGAGCCAGCCTATCCCCAGAGTCATGAATTTCTTTTCTCCTACACTGTACTTTTTCCAATTGCTTCATCCTCAAAACTTGTAAACTAATTGCCAGCAGGTTTCAACTGCAAAACAAATGCACAGGTAACAGCATAACACAGCACAAGGAACAGCTGGGAAAACAGAATGGCAATTACTTTAGCAAACAGTAAGAGCCAGAGAATCCAGCCAGATGTCCCGGAGAGCTTGTGCTCTGCTGCTCTCATGCATGATTCGTGACCACAAGCTTTGCTGCTGCCCCCACTGATGCTCAGCTCAGCCAGCAGCTATATGAACAGCTCCATGTATGACAATCCACAACCTTTATGCTACCCTGCAGAGGTGTCATGAGCCTCCTCACCCTTTGTCCCTTTGCTCCTCCTATCCCAGTCTTTTTCCAAACTGTTTGCAGACAACATGCAGAATCTGTGGCATTTCTAATCCCATGCATAACAAGATTGCAATTCAGACAGTTCCTACCTGACTGTTCAGCTGCTTTGTGGCGCTTATTGGGATGTGTGACTGCGATCTCCTCATAGTCAGGGTCCTTCTCCGCAACTGCTCTCTTGATCCCAGACATGTTGTCTCAATTACTCCACTGAGAGGAAAATAAAAGCAGTGACATTATCCAGAGCAGCTCCTAGACAGCGCTCAAAGTTCGTTCTGAATCCACAGGGTCCCTGTGGGGAGTATGGCCTCATATCTGGTAAAACAACTGGAACATCCCTTTCCCCGGATGCTACAGGTCACCCCACAGCTGCAAAACTCTGAGCTAGTCCAGTTATGGACACCCCACAGACTCACACTGTTCCTGATTTTTGGTCTCTAAAAACCATCTCAACCTGGCAAGCATCAAGCTCCTGTGATGCTGGAACGGTAAGGCAGAAAAATTAAATGCCCTTTGCTGCCACGGAGCAGCTGCTCTGCAACCCGCCCCGGGCTCCCTCCTGGAAGGCCAACGTCTTCATGCGGGGCTAGCACGCGTGTCCAGTGAGAGCCACCAAGGCTGGTGCTCATTTAGCAACTTCTCTTCCGCTTTAGCCACTGTGGACTGAAGCCAAGGTTACAGCGGCGTCCTCGGTGAGGCCTGAAAGCAGGTCTTGGAGAACCCCCAGACTGAACACTTCATCTCACTGCAGGCGGGGAATTTTCTCAGTGCCAGCCCCATCGCATGTGGCACTTGTTCGCAGTGCAGAGTCTCAGTGCCACAACAGTGACTGCTCTGAGCAAGCTGCCATCCAAGCAGAGATACACACACACAAGGCTGCTTGGAAAACGTTAAGTAACTTCCCCTATGAAGTTACACGAGCACAGAGCAAAAGCACTGCGAACTGATATGTGCAAAAGCACAGGTACCAACGCACAGCGGGGCAGTCAAGGCGCAGTCCCCCCTGGCACGGCCTCTGAAGTTCACCTGCCACACTCCTGCCCGCAGCCTCGCGCCCCCGCACCCAGCGCGCGCCCCGCTTCTGCTTCGCGCGCAGTTCCGCGCCCGTGTGAAGGAGGGACCCCGCAAAACGCCGCCCGCGCCGGGGGTGTCGGCCACGCAACGCCGCTCACCTCGGAGGCCGCTCCCG